AAAGGAGGAGGATTGGCAATAGATGTTAGCTCAGAGCCAGTCTTCCTCAGCAAAAAGAGGAGGATTAGCACGGATGTTAGCTCAGGGCTGATCTTCAAAAAAAAAGAAAAAAAAGATAAAAAAAATAAATTTACATTAGTAGTTTGGGAGCTTGAGTAATATTCACTGTCTGACAACCTTTAAACATCCCAATTTTTCTTTACCAATTCTAATAGAAGAAACTCTTGTTTCCAATGCATCTTAATTTTAATTAACTGTTTTCATGCAACTGTAATTTCTGATAAATAATAAAGTACTTTATGGTAAACAAATCAAATCACAGTATTTAACAATAGTAACCATAAAATAATGAACATACCCCTGTGTCTGTATCAGATTTTGATGAATTTAGACTTTCCTGAGAAGGCGACGGGGACACACGTCCTAAAAACAACATAATAATTGTAAAAAGACATGTACACACACACACACACACAAAAACATCAGCCAGAAATAATGACACAGTAACACCTAATTAATAGTCATAGAATATAACATTCTGGAAAAATACATCATTCTAAACAAGTGAAACATTAACTCTTTAAGCATCAAAACATTTGTTTTTATCATTTTTATATAAAATCTTTATAAAATGGCTTAACCATTTCCCCAATTTAATAAAATACTGTTAAATCCTCATTATTCAAAGTGAATACATTCTTGTCAACCATAACAAGTAGCAAGATGAACAATAAAGGGGCAGAAAGGGTCTAGGCAGGGGTGAGACTCAAGGACCACTGAAAATAGTCTTTCTGCTTCAGGCAGGGCAATAAAAAGAAATGTATAGTAACACGGTTTAACTTTTTGTCAACTCATTATCACCTTTAATTATGTATTATAACATAATGCAAGCAATACCCACAGGGCTACTCAAGTATATAGGTATACAGGGCCTCTGCACTACACCTGAAAAGGGATTAAGGCAAAAGCTTTGTGGTAGCTTGTTTCACTGGGTTTAAATGCTTTTTGCTGCTGACTTCTGTCTTACTTTTAGGTTTGTGGCTACTATGGAAAGTAGTGGTTGCTGTAAATGATTGGCAGATAAGAGGGCATTATTATACCTAAAATGTAAAAATACTAGATGTCTCCAGATTTTTAAAGCCCACAAATAAGTAAAAAAATACCTTCAGTATTGTACTTCATTCGCATATTGTTGAAATAGTCGAAAGCATTTTTTAAAGCCCATATTCTCACTACATTGTCTTGTCCAGCTGAGGCAAGTAATCGGCCACAGTGAGAAAATTTCATGGTCCAAACAGCTCCCTATGAAAACAAAGGAAGATTCAAAGTTATTACTTTAAAATTGAGACATTATTTTTAAGCCAAAGTAAAAAATTATGTCAAATTATACATACTAAGATAATGCTCACATTACTATCACCACTTAAGGCCAACAGGCCAATGGTGCTACAATACCACAAAGAGGGACTTTTAGAAGAAAGGCAGGATAAGATAGTTGCAGTTTGCTGTAATCTAAACTAACAACTTCAAGACTCCAAACCTTGTCCACATATTAATGGAAACGGAGAGTTCTGAGGTGGCCAGAAATCTCCACTGTAAAAGTACAAATCCTAGTTTGAGATCTCAGTCTCCTAGCTGAACATAACGGGGAATGGGACAGGAGGAGGCAGAGTCGTCAGCACAGCACTAACAACTGCTGACCAGGGCTGAGGGAAGAATAAGGCCCACCTCAGCACTGACCCTCACAGCACTGGGCATTTAGAAGTCTTGGAATGGTATGGTCTCATCCTGTTTTTCTCCCCAGAAACGAGGTTTCACAGTACGTGGCTAGAATTCCCAGATAGATACTGAAAACAGTGGTGCTGTGTGTGTGTGTGTGTGTGTGTGTGCACGTGCACGCATGCACGCACCACGTGTTGGAGGGATTACAGATCGTGAACCCTTAAATTGGAAAGACCAAATCCTATTACAACAAATACTGTTATAACTACTATTATAACTCACATCTACGCAGATCAAAAAGATTATCTAAATTAGAGGCAACAGCTCATTTACTGGAATAAAATTCATTTCTACAAAATTCAAGTATATTAAGAAATTTGTCATTTGGAGCCTACCATTTGGAGTCTACTACAATGAGATTTTACTTAAAACTGGAAATAATGAAAGATTTTCAATACAGTACAAGGAAATTCATCAGATTCCTTAAGGAAGTTATTATAACCAACTCAAGTATTTTATGTGTAGATTATAAGCACCAAAGTTTAAATTCCAATCTGGCTGCCAATCTGATATGTTTATGGTTGCTTCCTTCCAGTTAAGCCAATTTTTAGATTTAAAATCTAAACAGATAAATAGATCCCCTGATCAAGGACCCACAGCATCATTTATCCAAATCTGAGTTTATTACTGCCTTCTCTGTGTTTCTAGCCTTTTTAGGGAGTAACTGCAATATAATTTGTGCACTTTATCTACTTTGATACATTTTAACTGTGATAGAGAACTTGTACCTCTACCTCTCTCCTTGTTTTAGCAATCACCTTACAAAATATATTGAGCTTCTAAAATATTTGTGTAAATTATTTAAAATATAGCAGGGAATAGTTTAAACAATTTTCAAAGTGATAGACTACCCACTAATTTAACTGCTTTAAAGTCTGGTACCTTTCCATAGCTTTCTTAATAATATAGGCCTGGTGTTTACTTATTCAATAACTCACTTCTTGAACAATAATTCAGATAGACTCTTTATTACCTAGTCATTAAATCATATTAATATCAATTCACTCTTCTTGAGTCAGGCTAGCAAAATTACGTCACATAAGAAGAGATCAGCTTTACAGAAGCCCAAGTATTTCCCTCAATGGAAAAAAAAATCAATCCTGAAAAATAAAAAGGTTGCTTACCATATGTTCACCGCTAAGATCTTGCACCACTTTGATCTGATCAAAATCATAAGGTCCTTTGAAACCATGTGCTGCTTTAAATTTAACTGGTCTCGTGTATGGCATTCCTTCATCATCACTTGACGAAGGATCATCTTGATCAGTATGGAACACTGAATAGAAAAGCAACAGAAATCATCACTAGCTAATGTAGATATAGCTATCATATTTTCACATCCACTGCTTACCAAGAAAATTCATTAAATGGAAAAGCAAAATCTATTACTAAATAGCATATTGGTTAAGAGTATGGAGTCTGGTGCCAGACTGCCTGAGTCCAAATCCAGCTCTGTCATTTATTATCTGTGTGACCATAGGCAAAGGTACTTGACCTTTCGGTGCCTCAGTTTTTTCATCTATAAAATGGGGATAGGGCCGGCCCCACGGCTTAGTGGTTAAGTGCGCACGCTCCGCTGCTGGCGGCCCGGGTTTGCATCCCGGGCGTGCACCGACACATCGCTTCTCTGGCCATGCTGAGGCCGCGTCCCACATACAGCAACTAGAAGGATGTGCAGCTATGACATACAACTATCTACTGGGGTTTTGGGGGAAAAAAAATAAATAAATAAAAAAAGATAAGTATGTTGTTCTTTAAAAACAACAATAATAATAAAATAAAATGGGGATAATAATGGTACCTATCTCAGAGGGTTTTTATGAGGATTAAATGAGTTAATACAGGTGAAAGTGTTTAGAACAGTGTGTGACAAAGTACTATATAAGGGTTTATTAAATAAAACAAACAAGTACAATTATGACAAAGGCATAGGAAGCTAAGATCTATGCAAATTTACAAAATTTACCTAATTTTGAAAATATTTATAAAAACTAAAAGCCTTACAAAACTAATCTACAACTGATTATTAAAAACTCAACCCTTCCAGGTCCCCCCAGTGACAAAGTATGTACAAATTCATGTTTAAGATGCATATATTCGTTTTCTTCCTGCTCATAAAATTAAGTGATAGTGAGAGTAACAGCCTTTATGGAAATACTAAGAAATTAGCTATAAAAAAGTTTATTACTTTCAATGAAACAGAATGCTTCTTATAAACTACAGGCTAAATTTGGATGATTACAAATCAATTAAATATTCAGTTGAGATGTTCTATTCACTTACCTTCGTCTCTAACACTTTTAACTTTATTCACAGCACGTTCACCATATTCCTCAGCAAGGTGCTTTGCTCTCTTTACTGATTTTCCCAGGAACTTCTTTAATTGAGTCCTTACCAAAGGTACAAAAAACCAAAATTATTTTTTATTAATTCAACTAACTGTAAAAGTTCAACAATTCATAATCTCATTAGCTGTGACTGGTAAAGTATATTATTTTGAAATAACTTTTTTACATAAATAGTAGGTTTTTGAGTTTCTAAATCTCTTGTTCTATGGAATAAATATATTCAAGTCAATATGGCTATAAAGGAAATACACGCGCTTCCCCCCAATGTACAATATCATATACTCTAGAGCACTGGTTTTCAATGGTGACTAATAATCAGCTGGCGGGAATGGGGTGGGAAGGGAGCGTTTAAAGTGCAGATACCTGGGCCCCATCCCCAGATCATCTGATCTAGAGGGTCTAGGGTGAGGCCATGAATCTGCAACAAGTAAATGCTTTGAGAAGACTGCTGTAGAGAGTCATCCTCAAAAACACATTTACCAATAAAAAGACACTGTAAAGAGGTATTTACTTAGAAAATAAAATGCTTTGATATTTTATTAAAATACTAGGTCCCTTGTCCCTTCTCTTTCAGTTTGGGTATTTGCATGCAATACAGTTAGGCTGAGCTTTCCCAGCAGGTATTCCCAAACACAATGTAATGCAAGTATGTACCTCAAACTTCATAAATAGATCTTATTTATTGCTTTTTTAATTTTCTAAGTCTCAAATTTCATATATTAAGATTTTAAAATACAAAGCACGGTACATGATATTTAAAACTAAAACAAAATTTACAAATCAGGGGGAAATTTTTACCAATTCATGGAAGCTCATAATACTAAGGATAATATTTGAAAAAGTGGCTAAACTATATATACAAAGATGTTCACTGCTGCATTGTTTAGAATAGGTAAAAAGTAGAGATAAATTGAATTTTTATCAACAAAAGAATGGATAAATAAGTGATGACATACCCTTACAAATGGAGTACAATAAAATAAATGAGGCAAACTTCAGCTCTTTAAATATACCAAGCTTAGTCACCTCAGGGCCTTTGCACATGAGGTTATTTCTGCCTGGAACACTCCTCCTCTGGCTAATTTCTATTTATCTTTTAGGTCTTGGACCAAACAGCTCTCTCAAAAAAGCCCTCCTTGACTCTTGAGAACAACAGGTTTTCCTGTTATATACCCTCACAGCACCCCATATATTTCTTTTATAGTAATTACCACAAATGTAGTTAGATTTACCTGTGTAATTACATGTTTAGTGTCTGTTTCTCCTATTTAACTAGAAGCTCTATGAAGGCAGAGACTATGACTACCTTCTTTTTTGTTTGCTGAGGAAGATTTGCCCTGAGCTAACATCTGTGTCAATCTTCCTCTATTTTGTATGAGAGCCGCTGCCATAGCATGGCCTCTGACGAGTGGGTGACAGACAGTGTAGGTCCGCGCCCAGAAACTAAACCCGGGCCGCCCAAGCAGAGCATGCCGAACTTAACCACTAGGCCACCAGGACCGGCCCTATGACTGTCTTCTTAACTACTGTATCTGCAGCATCTAACTCCCATATCTGACTGATAGAAAGGCTACAATATATTTACTATTACTATTAGTACTGATATGAAAAGATGTCCATTAAATATTAGATATTTTAAAAAAAGCAAGTTGACAAACTACAGGCACAGTATAATTCCACTTCGGTGAGAAATAAAATTCTATGGAGAATATACCTAAGAATTAACACTGATTATTTCCAGGGGTTAGAGTATGAGAGACTTTTATTTTCTATTTTATGCATTTTTGTATTACTTTTGATAATTAGAAAACACAGATGATAAAGGATTTTTAAAATTACTATAAGGTCTCTGCTATCTATAACTCAAGTTATATTTTCAGTATAACTATAGGTTTACTACTTTCAGCAAGAAAACAGATATTTTGGGCTTTGGGGGAAAAAAAATAAATAAAATTAAAAAAAAGAAAACATATATTTTAATCATTTTAGATGAGAATATTTGTAAAATACATACTTTTGTGCCCTCTTCAATGGCACTTAATGTTCGATAAGTTGCTTTCCTTAATAAATAGGGTCAGTTACCATCTTTACTGTTCTTTAATACATAGAGGGTTTTTCAAATGGATTGTAGGTGGGCCATAATATTAGTTCCCCCCTCAGCCTTCAAGGCAACAGGGCAGAGCCCAAGGAAGCCAGAACCCTGGGCCAGTCTCTTCTGGCCATCAGCCAACTCATCAGTTGACCTCAGCATTCACTGGAAATATTACTGTGTTCTACATGTGTCATGACATCAGAAAAAGTTGAAAGCACTGCCATACGGAATGTTGTGGTATGTATGAATCCTCATCATTATTCTGATTCCTCTCTTGCAAGCAGAGTATCACCTGCCATTCTTACGTACTGACTTACATGTTGTCACAGTCTGCTGCTTCTATTTTGCTGTGAGCTCAGACACCAGACGACCAGATTTTTAAAAAATTATGTAAGAAGTAAGTATAATGGCTTTGAATACACCTGAAGAGCTTTTCCTTTAGAAAAATGACGAGCTTTAATGCATGGAGTTAAGTGACATCTCTCCTGGATGTTTATCTGTCTCCTGAATAATTCCTAATTCTCTGGTTCCTGATAGTGGCACTGCTAGACAGGCAAGCTCCAGATATCTGAGGTGTTATCGTATGGCCACATTACAGGTACATCTTTTCTAAGAATTATCCACGCTTTCTTTGATACACTTTCCACACTAGGAAAAGATCATACCACAGTGGCAAATTCACTTTGGGCCTTAGACTGAATTATTGCCAAGTAAGTGACTTGTGCATAATCAAGCAAAATCTATATGCCCACCACTGTGCTAGATGTTTGTAGGGGAAACAGAAGGATGGCATGATCACAATCCCTTTGCAACATATAGTTTAGCTGTTTAACATCTATTTATCTTGTTTTTTAAAATCAGAAAACAGCTTAAGATAACATAAAATAAAGGGCAAAGGTAAGTTATATAGACTATAGGTGTCACTGAAATTGAGAAAAGGAAAAAATTTACTGTGAACTGGAGTAGTCAGGAAGAATCTCAAGTAGTTGGGTTTGGAAAGACAAATAGAATTTGCAGAGATGAAGAGAAAGAGAAAAGGTAACTTTGAGGACAATCATGTTCTACTAACACTTCTGGTACCTACCATCAGAAAAATAATACAGGCATGATGCAAAATTTATTGACCATTTACTATATGTCAGATGCTATAAAAATGGCCAACACAGCCTCGACGAACTCGGCTGGAGGCAGGGAGTGGTGGACGGACATATAAACTGGATAGAGCAGAGATTTAAAATAGTATGGCAGGGCCGGCCCCGTGGCTTAGCGGTTAAGTGCGCGCGCTCCGCTACTGGTGGCCCGGTTTCGGATCCTGGGCATGCACTGATGCACCACTTCTCCGGCCATGCTGAGGCCACGTCCCACATACAGCAACTAGAAGAATGTGCAACTATGACATACAACTATCTACTGGGGCTTTGGGGGGAAAAAAAAAAAAAGGAGGAGGATTGGCAATAGATGTTAGCTCAGAGCCGGTCTTCCTCCTCAAAAAGAGGAGGATTGGCATGGATGTTAGCTCAGGGCTGATCTTCCTCACACACAAAAAAATAATAATAAAAAAAATATATAATAGTATGGCAGTTCTCATATTTTTTTAATAAAAACTTGAAATGAAGAAAAGGGATATACTGTAACTCACGTTTTCTGTTTTAACCTTCCACCATCAGTATCTGTTGGTTGAGATTGTAACTTCTCTTCATCATCTGACTGCGCTGCATCATTACTACAAGAAGGACAAGAAGTCACTCTAAAAGAAGTCATTTCCCCCACACTTCTCAAAAATCTGTATGTATACTTACTATAAATTAGCTTATCAGAATAAGAAGAAAAATGATGTTACCATGCTTTATATAAATTTAATTTAAATGATGACTCTGAGAATTTAAAGATGTGAGACATCAAAGAATAGAATCTTTAAGCAAGGTGCAATGTACAAAAGGTAAGTGAATGCAATTTAGGAATTTATGAAAAACCTACTACTAACGAGGCTTTTTGCTGGGCAAAACGTGCTGCACAGAAATGACAAATTAACTTGTAAATATCTTCCTTTTCACTCATCAGGCACATCATGTACTAAATTTTAAAAAGCTTTGCTTTCACAGAAATTATTCCTTAGATCTACATACATCTCACAGTAAAGTCCATCACCTCATTCTAAAGCCACTTTCTGACCCTACAAAGACAAAACAATTATTTATAAAATTTATGATTCTTCAAGCAAGATTTCAGAAGACCAGGTGTTCATTCCACATAGCTTTTCAGCCTCAATATGTTTTAATACTGTCTCTAGTATAATATAAATTATTTTAAAAGAAGAGAAACAAAATACTATGGGATTTAAGACACATATTACTTTTCCCGAGTAATTGTACAGTCTTAAGAGAGAACAAAGTTTAAGAATACATATGTTAACTAATTCTATTTTAACTCCAAATGTAAAAAAAAAAAACAAAAACAAGACTGAATGAAACCAAATTAGGGACTGTCATAGTTCATAAACCGAGGAATCTTTACCACTCCGAAATATTACAAATGATAAATAATAATATTAGGTCATACCTTACATATTCCTTAGTCCTTCTCATGATGTGTAGAGTGAGAGGATTAATACCTGTCGGCAGTTTCTCTTCCGCAAGACTCAAAGGTATTTCTTCTCCAGTATCCAGGTTCTTAATCATTACACTGGCTAAAATTTCCTGAGGTAAAAAATAACACCAAGAAGACCTATAATTTAATTATCTTTTTGAGTCTACAAAATTCTGAAATATTTAAGCTAAGGACTTTCTAGATACATTCAGTACTGTGTACAATAATTTTTAACATTTTTAGTGAGATACAATTCACACACCACAAAATGCACTCAAAGTGTATAATTCAATGGTTTTGAGTACATTCATAGAGTTGTGCAACTGCCACCACTATCTAAGTTTAGAACATTTCCACTACCCCAAAAAGAAACCCCATACACATTAGCTGTCATACCTCTTTCCCCTCTCCTCCCAGCCCCTGGCAACCGCTAATCTACTTTCTGTTTCTATGGATTTGCCTATTCTGGACATTTCATATAAATTAAATCATACAGTATGTGGTCTTTTGTGATTGGCTTCTTTCACTTAGCACCATGTTTTCAAGATTCATCCATACTGCAGCATGTATCAGACCTTTATTCCTTTTAATTGCTGAAAAATAGTCCACCTGGATGGATATACCACATTTTATTTATCCATTCATCAGTGATGGACGTTTGTGTTGTTTCCACACTTTGGCTATTATGAACACTTGTGTACATTTTTTGTGTGGACATATGTTTTCATTTCTCTTTGGTGTATACATAGGAATGGAATTGCTGGGTCATGGTAACTCGATGATTAATATTTTGAGAAACTGCCAAACTGTTTTCCAAAGCACAATAATTTTTTAAAATGTGTTTAAAAGCAACGAAAACTAAGATTTTGCTTCAAAATTTCATTCTGAATAAATTAGCCAATAGATGTATACTAAATTTTAATGGTAAGAAGCACTGAGTTTGTATATACTGTATATCATCTAATATGTATGAAAACATATATCTAAAATATCAAGTTCTTTTTAAGCCTACTTTCTGTAAAATATAGGTCTTGCTTTCAAAACATTTATTCCACCATATAATTGTGTGAAAGGGCAAGTTTAAGTCAGAGCTGCAAACTCCAGCACATTAAAAAAACAAAAACTAAGACAATCTTCAATTTTCATTTTTTCTTCTACATGACGATTATTTTTGCCTAATAGCAATAAACTTAAAAAGATTTTTATAGTAAAATATACATAATATAAAACTTACCATTTTAACAATTTTTAATTGTATAGTTCAGTGGCATTAAGTACATTCACATTGCCATGCAATCATCCACCATCATTCATCTCCAGAACTTTTTCCATCTTCCCATTATGATTTTTATATTTTATGTTTTTAAGACCAAAAAAAAAACCTAATTATACCTCATCAGTAAGCTCTCTCCCGGAGTTGGATCTAGGTCTCTGAGGGCCCATCACTTCACCTGCTATTGTCTGCCCATCAGGCGCTTTTCCATTTTCCTGAAATTATGTTTTTATAAACAGAAAGTAGATTGAGTCGACTTCTATAAATATTCAATGATTCATTACCACACACAGTTCTAAAGAATTTCGTAATTCAGATAATGGAGGCTACTGAAAATTTAAATGGAATACTCCATTTCGGTCCTTTATTATTCCCAGCAAGATGAAAAACATAGGAATCAAAACTATTGCTGCCCATGAAATAATGTCTTAGCAGTTTTGAAAGCAAATAAATGTTCTGTTTGAACCTGGCCCAAAAGCAGTTCTCTACTAGTAGAATGCTAGCCCTAAGACCGCCATTAATCAGGGCTGTACGTGTGGATATCTCGAAGGCAGGAGTTGGCAAACTTTTTTTGTAAACAGCCAAATGGCAAATATTTTAGGCTTTCTGCTTCACATATAGTGTCTGTCACATCTTCTTCTTCTTCTTCTTCTTTTTAACAACCCTTTAAAAATGTAAAAACCATTCTTAGCTTGGGGACCCTGCAAAAACAGGCCATTGCCAACCTCTGCTCTAAGGCTATGACAAGACTATAGTGTCTTATCTCCCAGTCTGCTAACCTGCCCCAACCACAGCTACCACATAAGTAACCCTCGAGTCCCAGAATTTGGCTATGGTAAAAATTCATATTATCAAGTCCTATCTATTACCTTATATATGGATATATATAGCCTAGCGTTTGAAGTTTTCTTCATGATTAGGAAAAGGAAAGTATAAAAAATAAAAGTCCCCAATTTTGACCACTATAGGTCAGGTAAATGAAGATTGTAGTTGGTGTTTATTAATATCCATAATATTACAAATAGCAGCATCTGTCGTTTTTTGAATGCCTACTACGTGCCAGGTACTTGGCACGTAGTAGGCATACTTTAGCTCATTTCATCCTTGTAAGAAACCTTCAAGGAAGGTTTTCCCCCTATTTTATCAATGGGGCATCTGAGACTCAGATGTTAAATAGCTTGCTAGAGTTGCCCAGCTACTTAGTAGCAGAGTTGGACAAGGGATGTTAGGAGGCCAGGTTTTGGGAACAAGAAAATATTCAGCTTGGAGAAGAAAGAAGATTTGACAATCAACAAACCAGCCAGTTGTAGAAAGTTGATACAGCCTATATCAAATATAACACAAATTCACCAACCTGGGCAGTAACTATTTTATCTCCACTGGTAGCACTTGCCAAATCCAGAGAAGGCTGAGAATCCTTGACTGTACTCTCTGAAGCCATGGTCGTAGTTAGGAGAGTTTCAGATGTAATATTCTCTTTGGGTACTGCAATAGTAATAATAATGGTAATAACTAATACTTACATAGGCTCTTATACATAGCTTCAAAAGTGCTTTAACTCCTATTTGTCTGATTCTTATAACAATCCTGTAAGGAAAGTAGTTCTATTACTCTTGTTTTATATAGGGGGAAACCAGTGTCCAAACAAGTTATTTAAATTCCTCAAAGCTATACAACTTATACATTAAGAGATCTAGGACTTGAATTCAAATCTTAGGTCTCCAAATCCTGTGTTCTTTTCACCACCCCATGCTGGTTTTCCAATGGTAGCAGATTTGAAGGTTTGAAGTCAGCAGAAATGTTCGATTATGGTAATGTAACTTATCAGCAATGTAAACGTTTTCACTTTTTATTACTAAAACAATTTTTTTTTGTGTGAGGAAGATTAGCCCTGAGCTAACATCTGTTGCCAATCCTCCTCTTTTTGCTGAGGAAGATTGGCCCTGGGCTAACATTCGTGACCACCTTCCTCTACTTTATATGGGATGCCGCAACAGCATGGCTTGACAAGCGGTACGTAGGTCCACACTAGGGATCCGAACCTGTGAACCCCAGGCCGCCGAACGAGTGGAGCATGCAAACTTAACCACTATGCCACCAGGCTGGCCCCTACTAAAATAATTTTTATAATTCAGTCATCAACATGATTGTACATAGGATACACTGAAACAAAATCAGAAAGTTAAACATTTTCAATTCCAAAATCTCCCCACAAAAATAGTTATTTCTCAATTAATACTTGCCATCTAGATCAGGCGTTTTAAGAGCCTCAAACTCCAATTCGCTTTTCTTTTTTCTTGGTGGTGGAGCAGGTCGAGATGGAGGTGGGGGTCTAGGAGGTGGGAAATTAGTTGGAGGGGGCGGGCGTGCTGGAACAGGCTTCTTTGTACTAGCCACTATATCAGGTTCTGGAGTAAGCTGTCTTGGGGGTTTGGCAGGAGCCACTTCTTCCACAGCAGCAAAATCTTTAGTAGGTAAGGAGTTTGAGGACGCAGGTTCTAGAATGTCACTTCCTTTGACTTCCATGGTTTCTTTGTTCAATACTTCTGTTTCAGTTTCAGGCACATTAACATTAAGCTGCTCAGCTGAACTTATTTCAGTTACCTTAGTGGTTTCATCTACTGGTTTCTCACTGGTGTCATCAGAAGGAAAACATTTTTTTGACTCTAATTCAGTTTCTTCAAATACATTCTGACTCTCCGCCTTTTTGGAATCTTCCTGTAGTACTTGATCTATGGCTAACAGTCCAGGTATATTGCTAAGATCTGTTCCTGCCATGATAGGACTTGCAGTGGCCTGACCAGAGTGTCCCTTTCCTTTGGAATCCAAAGAGTCATCTTCAAGCTGTAGGACTTTCTGACTCTCCTCAATAATACTTTCAATAATCTGATGAAAGGTTAAAAAGTAGTTTTTTAAAAATAAAGCTAATTACAAGAACATAATAACAGTAAGTACTGTATAAATGATTGGCTATGTACCAGACAATGTTCTTAACACTTTACATATTTTAATCTTTTCAACAACCTTATGAGATAGCACTCTTACTATTATATGAAGGAGGGAACTAAGGCACAGAGGGATCAAGTGATTTGTCCAAGGTCACAAAGCTAGTAAGTGATGAAGCTGGCATAAATCCAGGGAGCTTGGTTCCAGAATCTGCACTCTTAACCATTATAATAGGGAATCTGTGTAAGTAAGTGAATCACAAAATTTCAATCAATCCTGTAAAATACAGTTCAAATCTAAATTTACATTCAGACTTTTCTTGTCATAGTTCACTTACATATTTATGCCAAGTTAGCTGCAGTAACAGCCTGCTGGTTTGAGTCTCATAAACAAAACCATGAAAATCAAAACCACCTAGTACAAGAATTCAAGTTGTTTAGCTCTGAACTCAAGCCTATGACAGGAAAAGCCGGCAGATGTAGGGAGAGTAACATTCTTAAACAGACTATGTCTAACACTCCACTATTCAGATAGATGGCAGGACCACTGGAAGAGTTCAAACACCCAGCTCACCTTGCTTTTTTTCCCTTTTATTTCTTATCTGTAGCTGAAAAACACAGACCGGTTTTCTATGTCTTCTACCAACATTTAGAAGAAAATATATTTTCTACCCAGTCTTGTCATTATTAACACATTAAATCTCCCACCCCACTTATCTTTCCACCATGCCCAACCATTCTGCTTCTTCAATTCCTTTGCTCCAGAAAGTTAACAGAATGTGTCACAGAACCATCCTGATCTGGCTTACCACCAATTCATGCTAACTTGAACTGGATAATACTGCTGTTCAATAATATTCATTCCTCACTTCCTAGCATATTCCATATATTAATTTTTCTCAAGCTTCAAATTTTTATCCTAAACTTACTTCACTTTTACCAGAGAAATATTTTTCTGTGTGCGTGTGAGGAAGATCAGCCCTGAGCTAACATCCATTCTAATCCTCTTTTTGCTGAGGAAGACCGGCCCTGAGCTAACATCTATTGCCAATCCTCCTCCTTTTTTTTTTTCTCCCCAAAGCCCCAGTAGATAGTTGTATGTTATAGTTGCACATCCTTCTAGTTGCTGTATGTGGGACGCGGCCTCAGCATGGCTGGAGAAGCGGTGCGTCGGTGCGCGCCCAGGATCCGAACCCCGGGCCGCCAGTAGCGGAGCACGCGCACTTAACCGCTAAGCCACGGGGCCAGCCCTACCAGAGAAATATTAACTAGACTCCACTTAATTTGTCAGTTAGGTGGTTACTGGGCACTGAGTACCTTAGTGATAACAGAAGCCAGATTACAGTGGGTTTAAGAATGAATGAGAGGTAAAGACATAGAGACAGCCAGCACAGTCTACATACTCAAAAAGTTTGGCTATAAATGGAAGAGGCTGCAAGAAAGTGATCCAGGATTTTTATAAGTTGAGGGGAAGGAGCCAATGGAAAAGAAGATAAAGTTCTAGAGAAGAAAGGAAAAAGGGTCTACTGTGTATTAGACCCAGTACACACATTTTCTATTTAATCATCACACAGGCCTTGTGAGGTAGCTAGATTCTCATTCTTCTACAAAAAGAGGAATCGGAGGTAAAGACATTAAGAATTTTGCCCAAGGTCCTACAGCTAGTAAACTACAAAGTCAAAACTGAAATCCAGGTTTTTCTCAAAAATCTGGTGTTCTTTATATTATACCATGCCACTTTGGACAGGAAAAAAAAAAGAATACTAAACTCTCAGCAATGACACGAAAACAAGATAAAAGATAAAAACAAGTTTGCAGGTAAAGGAAGTGAGAGATGATGGAAAGGAGTGAATTCAGCCTTCTTAGCCTCTAATGCCCACATGCAGTAGGAAACAAGGTTATCTGCTGAAAGTGAGCGGGATGCAAGTGGGCTTAGTGAACACGAGATGAATGTAAAGGTTTGAAATCATCACTATGCATATTGGAAAGGCCTACACCATAAGAGGGCTTAAATGAGGTCGAAAATCATGTCTTCCCTAATCCCTTATCTGAGAATAATCTCTCCCTTCTCTGAACTCCTGTCATTCTTACTGTCCATTATAGTATGAACTATAATATAAATACAAGGTAGTATATGGGCTAGCTCTGTATAAATAATTTCTCCACACCAGATAATTAGTTCCTGGGAAACAAGACCCATGTTTTCTACCTCTTGATATGCCTCCATAGCACCTATTTACAGTGCCTAGCCCTCTATTTTTTTCTGAGTTTCAGCGGTAGCAAACAGGAAAGACCAAGAGAACAGTGAGAGAATCAAGACCAACACAGAGATGATCATGCTAAAGCAACTACTTGCTTCACATCACCTCCCTGCTTCAAAAAACTCACTGCTTTCCCAGTGACCATGAAATAAAAACCAGATGTTTTAGCATGACATAAGAGACATTCCCAGAACCTGGCCCTAACTTTGGCCTCTAGACTCATCCTCAAGCATTCTGCACATTCCTCCTCTCCTTGCCTTTGGTTATGTCTTTCCTCTCCCATCTCTGCCTGCCCCAATCTTATCTATTCATCAAGAACCAGCTCAGATGCTACTTCCTTCATGAACTCTTCCCCATTCCTCCCACGAAGCAGGAAGTAGTCTCCCCCTCTGTGTTCTTACAATAGCTTGTAAGTTTATTTGAACACTTATTACATTTAGTTTTGTGTTTATCCAATCTCCTCTACTAAAATGTAAGCTACTGGGAACAGGGATTGTATTCTGGTCAAGGATACATCCCCATAGCCTTTATCATTAATGTGTGATACTTAATTCAACTGAAAAGGCTAGAACTTAAAAAGTGATACCTAGAGTCTTATGAATCACTCTACTGTCCCATAGTGTTTACTCACTATTTTTTCACCTTCTATTCTCTCCTTAAAAGTCACCTTTTTTTTGCTACTAACCATAGATAGTTACCCATTTGTAATTTATCCTAAGAAAAAAATTCTTAAAAAGGGAAAGAAAAGCTCTAGTGGAAAAAATAGAAACATTTCAAGTTTTCAATAATAAAAATGGCTAGATACATTGAAATACATTTGCTTGATGGAAACTGATACATAAAGTGAAAACTGAGTAATGAAATCATGTAGAAATATGAAAACCTAAAAACGCTAAGAGGAAAAGGTAGAATATAAAATTCCATCTATACTACAAGTAGGCATTAAAAAAAAAAAAAAAAAAAAAAAAGCAAATGAGTCAGAACCAGAAGGGAATGCTGAAAAATCAAGACAGCTATTTGTTAAATGTAGAATTGTGGGCAATTTCTGATGTAAAAAAAAATGGTACCACTCTTGTTATCTTATTTATGCTGATACACAATCCCATTTCTTCCAAAAATGAAATTTTTCCTTTTAAAGGAAAAAGTATAATCAATATTAAAACATGTAGTTCATTATATTTCTAAATTCCATAAGGGTAAAACAACGGATCTCCACAGGGGGCGATTTGGCCCAGCACCCCTCCCCAGACATTTGGTGATGTCTGCAGACATTTTCAGTTGTCACAATGGGGTAGGGGTGGGGGGAATCTACTGACATCTAGTGGGAGAAGCCAGGGATGCTGGTAAATATCCTACAATGCACAGAGCAGTCTCCCCACTTCCCTCCACAACAAAGAATTACCCAGCCCAAAGTGTCGCTGTTGAGAAACTCCAGGGTAGAGAATGTGTCCTCTTGTTGGTCTCTGGAAATCTACTAGCTAGAACAGTGCCTGGGGCACAGACCGCACTGAAAACTAGTATAAATGAATGAACACACACCATCTTTTCTCCTTGGGTTTAATCCTGATACTGTAAACTATCTATTGTCAAATTTTTTTTTTAATAATTTTATTTATTTATTTATTTTTCCCCCTAAAGCCCCAGCAGATAGTTGTATGTCATAGCGGCACATCCTTCTAGTTGCTGTATGTGGGACGCGAGAGGCTGGAGAAGCGGTGTGTCGGTGCACGCCCGGGATCCGAACCCGGGCTGCCAGCAGCGGAGCACGCGCACTTAACCACTAAGCCACGGGGCCGGCCCCCCGTCTACTGTCAAAATTTTTATCTTGTGCTCAGTCTCTTCTAGTAAACAAAACTCTGAAGCTTCATAGAATCAATTCTTTAAAAGGTATCAAAGGCACTATTACAATAATGACTTATTGTAACCTCTAACTCCTAAAGACATCAGAATTTGCTGCACTGAGCTTTTCAATACCTTTAACTCTTGGTAGTACCCTCAAGAGTAGCTACAGCTTATTCTAATAAAAATACAAGCATAAAAAATAAAAACACATTATAAACACATTATAAAACATTATAAAACATTGGATAAATTACCGATTAGTTTGATAATGAAATGACTTCTAAAAAGCCTGAGGTTATCTTCAAACACAAATTTAACAGATTCAAGGAACATCTACCACATACAAAGCACTACACTAAAAGAATATAGAAAATTCTCCACTTTAAATATACCATATAAATATGACATCTGCTAAACTAATATTGACATTATATTTTACCAACCTTTTTAGACACATCTTGTTTCAATTCTTGTACAGGGGACTCACTTCCAAGTTTGTATGCAGTGTTCTCTGTTTCCTATTTTAAAAAGAAAAGAACAGAGATCAAACAACATCTTTTCTTTAAAACTCTGTTTAAAAATAGGTATGAATTAGGAAATATAGCATTAATAAAGCAATGGCCCATAGAGGGCTTAGACGTTTCTATACTGATAAATGTCCAGAGATTTTATGCCAACTGGGACAATGAGATTTGCATAAGAAGGTTACCAATCAGCGATTTTCTATTTTTCTACTGAAACAGGATATTTTTCCTTTAAATGTGCCCAACTTTTTTTTTTTTTTTTGCTGAGGAAGATTGGCCCTGGGCTAACATCTGCGCCGATCTTCCTCTACTTTATATGGGATGCCACCACAGCATGGCTTGGTAAGTGGTGCATCGGTCTGTGCCCAGGATCCAAACCTGCGAACCCCAGGCCACTGAAGCAGAGCACGAGAACTTAACCACTACACCACTGGGCCGGTCCCAAAATGTGCCCAACTTTTTAACATTAAAAAACTGTAAAGGAACACAAGAACTACTAAGTATCTTTGTAGCTTAAAAAGATTAAGGATTTAAGCAAAGTGTTGAACGAGAATTGTTATTTTTCCCAAAGTATTGCTCCATAAATATGCATAAATATAAAAGTACATAACGGAAAACCACATTCAGAAAATAGTTTTCTTAAAAACGCTACATGCCTTAGATAAAAGGAATCAAGACTTAATCAGAAGTTAAATGAAGTCCCCCAAACAGTAACAGATGCAAAAAATTAAACCCACCAAAAATACATATATATCTACGTATACATTCATATACACATACGTACATATATATATATATTCGGGAGGTTAGAGAAGGTAGAAATGGATACTGCATTTCTGCTGGAAAAAAATTGGGGTAAAATAAAACAATCATACATTTGCAAATCTTAACACAATATTCTTCTCCATCTTAAGTTGTCTTTACATTTATAAAAGTACAGCAATTTGAACGTTACTACCGATACTGAGAAAAAAACTTTTCATAATTCTTGGTGCACATTAACAGAACTTGGTAGAAAAAGGTCGCGATAACCATTTTTGACAGATAAGTGACCTAAGGCACATAAGGGTGTATGTAAGTATTAAGGTAGCACTTATACAAGTATCAGGATATGATCATGATAGGCTCCATGATAAAATTACTCCAGAGATTACTATAATGCTAGAGATTTAATGTGCTAGAGAAATTTCCTTCTTTCTTTCTTTCTTTTTTTTTTTTGGTGAGGAAGATCAGCCCTGAGCTAACATCGATGCCCATCTTCCTCTATTTTTTTTGTATGTCAGATACCACAACAGCATGGCTTGATGAGTGGTGCGTAGGTCTGTGCCTGGGATCTGAAACCCCGAACCCCAGGCCGCTGAAGCAGAGTGTGCGAACTTAACCACTACACCACCGGGCTGGCCCCGTGCTAGAGAAATTTCTGTAGGACTTCCAATATCTTCAAGTTGAAAAGTTGTTTCATTGAATTCTCCCCAGCACTTGGGGAATGTTACCAATCTTATATAGATTTTTCTACAGAAAAGTTGTTTCATAGAATTTTAAGTGTTAGGTAAAATCCAAACTCTACCACAACTCATGAGGGCCTAATGTGATATGGCCCCTGCCTACAACTTTGACATCTTCTACATTTCTCACCTCCTTCTCCCTCCACAACCCCACAATTACACTTTGGCCAACTGGATGGTTCCTTACCATCCCTAGGGTCACAGCTCAAGTGTTATTACGTCAGAAAAGCCTTCTCTGACCACCTTAAAATAACCTCACCTCCTTAACTTTCTATCACATTATCCTATTTTCTTCTTCTTCATGGCACTATCACCATCTGAAACGACCTAGTTTACTTGCTTATTTTTTGCCTCTTCCTTGCCCCACTAGAATGTAAGCTCCATGAGAGCAAGGACTTTGTTCTGTCTACCATTACTTACCCAGTACTTAAAACAGTATCTGGCAAAAGTAATCATTTGCTGAATGTTGAATAATGTATGCTCTGGCTTTTCTTCAGTTAATACACATATCCTAAGTTTATATATCCTTTAATCAAATCCTGTTTTAAACTAAAAAAAAAAAAACTCTAATCAAAACCAATTAGTAAGATAATCTTGACAAGATGAGGGAGAGAGAATACTTGAAAGCTGACGGTCATTAAGAACAGTTGATGCATATTAGAGAAACATCTTCAACTGTCCTGCGAATTAAGTATATTTTATCCAATTATCCTCCAATAATTGCTCATTAGTAGGAAAATCAGAAGCACTGTACGACATAATTTTGTGGATATTTTCCCTAAGTTGACCTAAGCAAAAATACACACTGACAATTCCTGTACCTCAATTTAAGTTGTTTTAATTATGTACTTACAAAGATCACAGATTAACATTCTTACACTGACCCAAACTGCCAAGCAGTGATCAGACTTCTATTTTATTTGGCTTTAACAAAACTCTCTTGGACTTTGAACTTTTCAAAGATACCCACTCCTGTAAGGTAAACTGCTGTTAAGTCACAAGTTTAAAGGAGTGATATGGCACCTACCAGAAGATCTGACCTCTAGAGAAGTTAACTGGAAGATTTCTTAGTAAAACCTGACTTAGCATATGATTATGTCTATGATTAGTATATGTCTTAACCTATGATTCTGTCCCAGTGTGGTCTGAAGTCCAGGTCCTTCCCCTAGTGCCTCAATCAGGGTTTGGGGATAGCAATGAAAGCTAAGCATGTGCCTGCAGACAACCAACACCAACCTAGCTAGACATGTGATAGTCTTCATTTATTATCTCCTTCTGGAGACGGACTGCCCTATTACTAAAGCACAGCAGTTACTAAATCCAGCTTCCTACCATCAGGCCATTTCTCTAACCCCTACCTATCACAACCTCAGAAACATGCTTCCTTAAAAGGTATGGTAGATCGTTCAATTTCTAGCAATTCATACCACTGTTTCCCTCCAGCTGTGTTGGATAAGAGAGCTACTTGTACCCTCCTCACAGTATTGTTATGAGATTTGAGGTTTTTAATTTTAATAAGTACATCCAACAAAAGATAACTTGGTTTCACAAATCATTTGTACAAAAGCGATCTACACTCAGAGAAATCTTCATTATTATCTACTAAACAACATTAAGCTAAAAATGTTAGTTATTTAAAAATTCTGGTTACTTCCAGATTTTAGTAGTGAGCAAGGTGAAGCTATTAACAATGACTAAAATGAAATTTAAAAAAATGTTTTAGAGATGTGAACTCCACCCGTTTTGATGGAAGAGAAAAAACCCACAGGAAACAACTCTTAAACTGTTGTCATATCCATCCATCCATTCCCATGAACACTATCTGTGTCGGAGTCTCACGTCTTGACAATCTAACTGCCTTTTAACAACTCTCTCTGCACTTAGTCTCTTTCTTCCAAACTTTCTTCCACCCTTCCAGCACTTATCTTTTGTTAATTCCCCAGCAAAACACCTTGGAGAGCACAGCTATTAGACATACAAAAAAACTGACTTTTTAAATGTCTTGCTTCAAAATTTTAAAGCCTAGAGTTCTTAATCTGACATTCAAGGCTCATCAAAATCTGGCCCCAATTTACTTGTTCAACATTCCATCACTGAAACGTTTACATAGGTCACACCAGTTTTTCAATGCTCCCAGCAAATTCCACGCCTTTGCATATTATTAGTTCATACTACTGCCTAACACACAATGCTTTCCCAATTTTTCTCCATCTACCTATGCAAATCTCTCCCAATTTTCAAAACCCAGCACAAGTTCTACCTCCTCCCTGAAATTTTTCTCTATTTCAGGTAAAAGTGCTCTCACAGTTGTTCTATCTCCCCCTTCTTCCTCCAAATTCCTTGTAGCACTTAAGGTCTATTCTATTCTACAAACACCAATACCTCGTATATCATCCCTTCGTACACATGTCTCTTCTGTGAGATTGTAAAATTATCAAAAATTGGGACTATATCAAACTTTTCTTTGGATTGCTTAAGACATCAATAGATATGCTGTTACACATAATATGCACTTAATAGTCTGAGTATATCCATACCATAGAATACTACTTAGCAATAAAAAGGAACAAACCATTAATACATGCAACAACTTGGATGGATCTCAATCCTTTGAGTCAATCTCAAAAGGTCACACACTAGATGATTCCATTTATAGGACATTCTCAAATGACAAAATTATAGAGATGAAAAACACATTAGTGGCTGCCTGAGATTAGGGATGATGTGGGCAAGGTGGTGGATGTGACTTTATAAAGGGGTAGCCCAAAGGAGATCTTTGTGGTGATGAAATAGACCTGCATCTTGACTGTGGTGGTGGATACACAAATATACACATGTAATAAATTGACATAGGACTATACATTCACATTGTACCAATGTCAAACTCCTGGTTTTGACATTGTACTGTAATTAAGATATAACCACTGGAGAAAATAGGTGAAGGCTACACAGGACTTCTCTGTACTGTCTTTGCAACTTCCTGTGAATCTATAATTATTTCAAAATAAAAAGTAAAAAAGAACAATATCCAACTTCATATTTATTTACTAAATATGTACCTTTTCTATCTAATTTTATTCAAGTTAAGGACAATCTATAATTACTGAGATAAAGTAAATTCCCAAAACCTATTTGTTATAACCTAAAAATATCTTAGAGCCAAGTGGCTTTTAAAACCTATAAGTATAAAGAGCACGGTCTCTTGAGGCCGGCCCAATGGCGTAGCGGTTAAGTTCATGTGTTCCGCTTCGGCAGCCCAGGGTTCACCAGTTTGGATCCTGGGTGCGGACCTACTCACCGCTCATCAAGCCATGTTGAGGCGGTGTCCCACATAGAAGAGCTACAACTTTACAACTATGATACACAACTATGTACTGGGGCTTTAGGGAGAAAAAAGAAAAAGAGGAAGATTGGCAACAGATGTTAGCACAGGGCCAATCTCCTTCAAAAAAAAAAAAGAGCACAGTCTCTGGATATAGGGATTGGGAGGTGGAGGATGAGGGATGGGAGGGAAGCTACATTTTCAACCATCTACTTTTTACACTGAGCAAATTTTAACCATATTCATGTATTATTTTTAAAAGTTGTTTTTATTAAAGTAAATATAAAAGGATTTTCATAAAATATAAGGAATACAGAATTATGATATAACCTTTCTTAAGCATTCAGTTCAGGAAAAAGAAGATTATCACTATTAGCTTTCAAGTCTTTTGTGTATCCTTCTCCATTTCCATTACATTCTTTCCCCTTCAGAGATGACTGACACCCTAAACTTCGTGTTTATCATTTCCTTGCTGTTCTTTATAGTTTTACTATGCTTGTATCTCTAAACAATGTATTCTCTAATTTTGCATGCTTTTGAACTTAATATAAAATGAATCTTATTGCATATATTTTCCTATGACTTGTTTTTTTCCTCCCACTCAACACTATGTTGCTGAAATTCACCCGTGTTATTATGTATAACTAATTCATTCATATCCACTGCTGTAGAATATTCCATATGAATAATATACCACAATTTATCAAAGAGATCCATATCCAACGTGTATAAATAGAAGGCAGGGATACTAGAACTGAAAAAAAAATAGAGCATGTTTGAGATTATGCATACATATGTACAGGTATACACACACACACAAACATACACACATAGTATATACTCTATTTGATGTAATTAGTTCTGTTTGGTGACCTTCTTGTACTTAAAATGGCTCTCATTGATATAATGTCTCAATACCAAACTCCTTTGCTAAGAGATAAGACTGGGATTGATTTTTATATATAGTGATGATAACAATATGTGTGCCCATAAGAAGTATACAAGTGTTTTGGTTATTCCACATTTTTGCCATACAAGTTTTACCTTTTCAGTTAAAACATACACACACAAATGCAAGTATTTTATAGTGTTCTTTTATTCTAAAAATTATAAACCAAATAAAAATTAGTAGAAATCTAAAAAACACTTATAGTCCCTTCCCTATAGCACAATATTTAATTAGGTATTTCTAGAGTGCCTAATCACACCTAGTAAGATACAATGACAACATTATTTAGAAAAAATAAGTAATAGAAAGCAAGAGCAAGAAAATGAAGAATTACATAAAAGAGAAAAATGAATGAAACGTACACGCTTTGTAGAAACATGCTTATAACTTTCAGAAAGCACAACTTACCTTCGATGTTGAAATCCCAACCTTTCCTGGAGACCTGTTCAGAAATAAAAGCAAGGAGGCGTTGAATAGTGGAGGTGAGAAGGGAAATACTTCCACACACTTACTAAAGGCAAGCCCACATTTTAAAATACATGTACATATTTTGTGATTGAAAAAAGTCTTCTGTGCGTACAGAAAATGTAGAAACACAAAAAAGTAGAGAAGAAAATTAAAGTGACCCATAATCTTACCACCTAGAGATATGAGTATCTTTTGTCTTCATATATATATATATATATATAACATATAATACTATAATAAGCATCTTTGTAAATAAAATTTTGTGCTCTTCCATGATAAGTTTATTTAAAATAAATTTCTCTAGAAGTAGAATTGCAAGTCAAAAGTACACACACTTTTCAGGATTTTGAGAAACTTTCAAATTGCCCTCCAAAACAGCTGTACCAATTTAGACTCCCACTGCTCAGAGTGCCTGTTTCTTAACACCCTTGCCAAAAATGAGTGTTATTTTTACAAACTTGATAGGCATAAACATATCTCATTATTGGCTTAATTTGCACATCTTTGATTTATAGTGTGGATGAAAAGTTTCATATGCATTAGACATTTACATCGCTTTTAAAGAGAGAGAACTCATTTTTGTTCACAGCTCATTTTTCTACTGGAGCAAAACTCTATTCTTAGACTACTCTAGATATAATAATTTTAAAAAGTAACTTCACCAATTATTTTCACCCCCCCCTCAATTTTTCTTCAAATAGGAACAGTTTGATATCTGTTTTAAAACATAAGAGAGAGACACACCCTTATAGCTGCTTATTATATCTCAGGGTTATGCAGTAAGAAACACTTAAATAATTAATATTAATAGGCCACTCCTAATTTTTTTTTGTAAAATGCAACGATCACAGATGATACAACTTTGTGTTGAAAGGCACCTTTAAGATCATTTAATCACATAACCTCTTTTTACAGATAGAGAAACTGAGTTGCCAAGAGACTGTGACTTTCCCCAAAGTCACATATTTAGGGGCAGAACCAAGAAAAGCATGGAGTACTACTACCATGCTCTTCATATGCCAAATTGAGTGATCCATATTTGGTATAGGAATCCTTGACCTCTAATCAAAACTTAGTGTGATAAAAAAAAAAAATTACTTTTGCCACTTATTAGAAAATCAACTCCTCTATTCAACATGTAGGGACTACCTACTATGTACCAGGGACTAGAGATATGAAGATGAATAAGACACAATTCTACTTTAGGGGTTTTTAAAGCTTGGTTAAAAAACAAAAAAAGGAAGCTGTATAAAATAGTGTCCACCCCTTTAATTGCAGTGCCTAGACAATATAATTTCATGTTAACAGGACAATTTCCAGAAATGAAAATTTTTATATCCCCAATTATTTAGCTTCCTTAGCAAACCTATACTGCTATGTAACAAAATTCTGTTTATCCAGAGGTGATTAGGACCAAGGCTATTCCGATTTAAAAAAAAGAAAAAAGGTTCCAGATAAAGGATTCTAAAACAATACGAGTGCAATCAAAACACAAAAATAAAAAGAAACAAAAAAAACCTTGAAGAGGTTCAAATTTCCATGTGGCATATATTCTGAATGCCAATCAGGAAAAAAACAATCACCTGCCACAGAGGTGTAGCGGCAAGAGAAAATAAGATTTAAAAAAACTTAAGGGCCTTCTTGTAAAAGGCAGTAAAACCATCTACTTCACAGGACTGCTATAAGGATTAAGTGAGAGCACATGGGGCACACATATAAGTGGTAGTTTCTTCGGCAGCTTTGAATTGCTCCATCGAAACTCACAAATGATGAGCTTCACCAAGTTTCTCCAAGGCACTTTGGCAGCCTGTCAGTAGTGGGGAGACCAGTTTCTGGAACACAAAAGATACCCTACAGCCCGTCAAGCTCCAGCCCACTTAACAACAGGGAACACGAAAAAAGCCAGATTATATTGAGCTGGTAATTAAAATGGGATCCTGTTTGCATTTTGTAGTGTCATTAAACAAAAAACTAATAACAAAAGTCACTCATGTTTGAAACATATTTTAAATGTTGTAAGGTCTTGGTAGGTAGTAAAACATTTCAGACTACTATAGCTTCTTCCAGTCTAACTAAGCCTAAAATTATCTTTATCACGGTACTCTGTGAGACCAGAATTCTTTTGTGATACATTTTTTGAGCCATTTATAGAACATTAGCATCTAGTAAAAAGTGAAAGCATATTTATAATTTGCAAAGTTGGCTAAAATGATTTGTATCATGTGCCAAGATGAAAAAAGAATAATTCATTTCACCATAAGAAACAGTAAATCATTATTTTGTATTCCCACAGGAAGCATTCCTAATAGGGGCTTTGTAATAATAATAAAACAATGGCCATCATTTATTAAGCATGTGCCAAAAACTGCTAAGACGACCTGCTTTAGTTTCTTTAGTCCTCACAACTTTCCTATGAGTTTATTATCTTCCCTATTTTACATAACAAAAAACTGAGGCTTGGGTCAGATTACGTTATTTAAATTGCACTGCTAGTAAATAGTAGGGCCAGAATTTGACCCTGGGCAGTCGGACTCTAGGGCCCACTATCTCAAATACCTCACAACATGGCCTCCTTTCCGGGTAAGGTCTTAAAAGATGACAGTTACGAAAATATTCTAATTGCTGCTATGAATGAGCACCAGTAAAGGCAATTAGCGCTGCATCTTGGGTTGAACTAAACAGATTAAGTCAAAGGCTCTGAATCCTGATCTGCCTTTAACAACTACAATTAATGCCTAATTGATTTGGCACTGCTAGGGAATAAAATAATGAAATGTTCCATATATAAAATTGCCAGAGATGAAGCTTCTCTTTGAGTGCTAAACTTCTGAAAATATTTTAATTATTTTTGAATTTCAAATTTCAAAAGCAGCTTGTAAATAAGTACATTATAGGCTAAGCCTTGCTGTTTGAGTAATCATTCCCTTGCAAATACCTTCTTTAACAAAGGATATACAATTTTCCCTTTCTTACTGACTCAGAGTAATTATTACACTCAAATACTACCCCATATTTTAATGCAATAATGCCCTTTGGGGACCCTAAAGTGCAGGCCTGCACACTACAAGACCCTAGGTTACTATGTTTGGAAAGTCTATGTTTTATAGTTTTGTGTCTCCTTCCTCGATTTACGTGGTCACTTTTCACATTTGGCCATGTGCCTGCCTTTAAAAGCTTTCCTCCCCTCCTCTTCTAATTTTTGCTTCTAATTTGCATTGAGGTGGGAAACCAGGTTTTTAAAAATGGAATTGTATGGTAAACGAAGAATGCAGAGATTCTGAGTGAGGGTCTTCCCATGCAAATTTTTGTACATGACTTTATTGTGGACTTTGTGGCACTTTTTTGATTGTTCAGAGGCTAAGTGATTATTTATTTCCAGCTGTATCGGAGAATCGTCATCACCAAAGAAGTGGCTGCCAGATATGTGAGGTGTCACTAATCTTTGGGATCCCTAGACAACCACTCAACTCTTCTCTGTAACTAGTCTCAAACTTCAAAGATAATAACAATATACTATTTCAGAGTGATCATGTGCCTAAAGAAAACAACTATTCATGTTTGAGTTTGGGGACAGGAGAAATGGGAGACTAGAGGTCAAGAAAATTAAGTTCTACTCAGCTTTCCCAACCAACTAGCTGCAAGACCTTTAAAAAAAGATTTTTAGAGCTCCTGCAATTTTAGGAAATTTTATTTTAAGACCCTTCATTAATTTGGGAGTGAAGATGTAACTTATACCATGATTAACGATCTAAATTTTATACCCTCTGATTTCCCTTAACTTTGAGATATATTATAGGAAACCTGGACATAATGCAACACACACACATCCAGAAATATCCAGTAACACTTTGATACATCTAGTTAACCAGAAAAATATTCCTTCAAAATTTTCTGTAGATACTAAACAGAGCAAATTAGAATCCTCCTTTTTATAGTTTGTCAGTAATTTTTCCCAGAAAAAGTCCAAATGGTTACATAAAACAACTTTTATTATACCCCACACAAGTGAGAAACCTTTAAGAAAACTCTAAAGTAACAGGTAGACATATTTAAGTATTGGTAGTATATGCCCCACTTTAAATAAAACCTAACAAAACAAAACGAGAACTGCAAAAGTTTTCATCATATTTTTAAATCAAATATTTTTGACATTTAAATATGATTAACAAAGCTTAATTTAAATGATAAATGTGCTTCTTAGGAAGTTGAACAAAAATATACCTTTAAAGGGCTAAACTTTCTTGATTACCTAATAGCATAAAAAAAATCTTCCAACATATTAATACTAATTACAAACAGTAGATCTTTGATTTTGCAGCATAGTTTCTGAAATTGAAGACAATGTCTATCAACGGTACTATTAAATTTAAACAAGAAAAACAAGCAATTTCTGAAACAGCTTCAAAATAAAGTCTGCTTTAAAGAAGCATTGGTCATCTACAAAAAAAACACAAAACCCACATGGCTTACAGATCAAATTCTAAAATTATTTTTATGGTGGCTTCCACTTAGATCTTGAATATAAAAATATTTTCAGATTAGTACTTCAGCAACTTTCAATACAGATAGAATATTTTAATTTATTATATTTTAATTTATTATATCCTGTCTTCTATAGTAAAGTTATTTTCATGCACTTGCTATGTTGAGTTTATACTAACAAAGCTCATGTTTGAATATAAAATAATGTGCGACAGATGCTTTCTCCAGTCCCTATCCATTTAGCATTTTAATTATAGGAGTTTTCCTTTTGCAGCTAGGGTATTTGTGTTTAGAACCAATGCATTTTAATATCTGCACAATATTCATTATTTTAAAATTTTTACATGGCTTCAAAATGTTGCTCTGGTGATTTTTCAGGACGGTATAGGAATTATTTTTCTTTTATACACTCTGACCTGATCCAGTGATAACGTCCAGATACCTGAGGCAAAATTTCATTAGAATAATGTCATTACTCCCAAAGGCAGGTAC